TTTCTCGCTCCAGAAGATTACAGACACTCATTCCTTAGTGCCCTGTAATAGGCACACGTGAACACTGTCCAAGGTAACAATTTAAGTGGAATGTTGTCCGAGACCTGTGTGTAACCTGCTCCACTCCTTTGGAAGGTGGAGCAGGCACTTTGTTACCTGCATACAAAACCTGGTTACTCACATTTGTACTCCAGTGTCAGGACAGAGACACGGCTCTGTTAGTAAAACTGCAGAATCCTTCCTCACGTAATCTAACCTTGTCTATCCTTCCCTACATTAAATCCACTGAAGGTCAGGAAAATACCCTTTTCACAGCCTGGAAAAACTAGTCCATTAGCCCACGCTCAGCTGATTTTTTCCAAGTCTGCGCTGCTAAGTGTCCTGTCTCTGGACAGCATGGCAATCACGACATTGCTTGCTTAAATTTGTTAATAAAGAAGGACTTTCAAAACCAACTTCTATGTAGTTAAATCTGTCTAAAGTTTCCTGAGTGCTTACTGAATGTAAATTCATAAATCTCTTAATTTCTTACCCAAAAGCGGAAGTTGATTACCAGCTCCTAATACTAAGGTGCCATTTAGCTCACGAAGATGATCTGAAATTAAAGCATCCAGTAATAATACTGGGCGGGATACCCAAGAAGATATTTTGGTTCGCAGAATTTCAGTAGATTTGAAAACATAGCCTTAGCATATTGTGCTAAGCACTTTAATTATTAACTATTTTTAGTAAAGTTTACTGAAGTCTTCTCAAGAAACTTTACTTGAATTTCCTTGAATAATGCAACCTGAGATGTCTCTTGACTCCTTGCAGTAGGAACTGAAGCAGTTCTTCACCCATAGGGATTAGCCAACCCCCCCCCCCCCCCGAAGGACAGGAAAACCAGACCAAACACTGTTTTCTCAGTGAGGTCTCTAAGGTAGTATTTTGACAAAGATAGCAGAAGGGAGAAGACAGGCGAGCTAGAAGGAGGAAGAGACTCAAACATCAGTCCAAAGGGTCTTCATACATGAATCTGTTATCTTAAGACAGAGGTTTCTTCTCTTTTCTACATCTGATATAGGATCTCTTTTCTCCCTCCCTTCCATAGCTATTTCATGCGGGTTTTTTAATGCTAACCACCCCTTCTTCTAGCTCTCCACCCCTCTATTGCTTAACCTCTCCCAGTTCTCACAAGTACTCTAGAAGAGCTGTCAAAAGGACAAGAAGCTTGAGGAGGGAGACAAATTGCATTAGCTGATATGAATAGTTTAAAGAAGCTACTTTCTCTGTTGACCTCAGTGCTATTTTACATTACTTTTACATTTTCAGGAATTTAGGTTTGGCAGGGTTTTTTTTGCTATTCTTCTAATACTGTATCTAGCATAACTGCAAAACAGGATAGCCATTCTAGAGCTAAAAATGAATCACCTTCCATTTAGTCCTTTCCTTACAGCCAGACCTTCTTTTTAGCATTAACCAGCCAGCTGCCTGGTTCTGTGAGCACGTATGGCTATCAGGCCTGCGTCTCAGCCAGTTACAACTGTCCTATTTCTTTATTGGTTTATATCAATTCATTCCATGAGGAATGGGCAAGAATATTGAGAGTTCTGACACTCCAGGGGGCTGTGCAGCCATCAAGTGTGACCTGGACAGGCTGGAGAGCTGGGTAGAGAAGAATCTCATGAGGTTCAATAAGGGCAAGTGTAGGGTCCTGCACCTGGGGATGAAGAACCCCAGGCACCAATAGAGGTTAGGGGTGGACCTGCTGGAAAGCACTTCTGAGGAGAAGGATCTGGGGGTCCTGGTAGATAGTAAACTATCCATGAGCCAGCAATGTGCCCTTGTGGCCAAGAGGCCAATGGGATCCTGGGCTGCGTAGGGAAGAGTGTGGCCAGGAGGTGGAGGGAGGTCATTCTTCCCCTCTGCTCTGCACTGGGGAGGCCACAACTGGAATCCTGCCTCCAGTGCTGGGCTCCCCAGTTCAAGAGAGACAGGGAACTGCTGGAGAGAGTCCAGTGTAGGGCAACCAAGGTGATGGAGGGATTGGAGCATCTCCCTGCTGAGGAAAGGTGTACACTTGATGCTGGTACTTCTTGCCTGGAGTCCAAATTGGTGAGACCTAAATATCATACCAACAGTGAGACAGTGTGAGAGGATGCACTCTGTTCTTCTAACATTTGAAGCAAGAAGGGGAGCCCTTTGGGATTTTTCTTCACTGCTACAAGCCTACCATGAATAGCATACATCTGTTGGTGTGCCTTAGGTTCCTCTTTGCTAGTCGTGCTTCCTTGTGTGGGGTCTGTTCTGGAGGATCCTCCTGCCTACAAAGGGCTGGATAAGCATGAGGGGTGGTAATAACTCCATGTGGAATAAGCTGCTGAGGTTAGGGCAACAAAGGTGATGGAGGGGTTGGAGCATCTCCCTGGTGAGGAAAGGCTGAGGGAGCTGGGGCTCTTGAGCCTGGAGAAGAGAAGGCTGAGGGGAGACCTTCTTCATGCTTCCAAGGATCTAAAGGGTGGGTGGAAGGAGGATGGAGCCGGACTCTTTTCAGGGGTTCCCAGTGACAGGACGAGGGGCAACGGGCACAAGCTGGACCATGGGAAGTTCCACTCCAATGTGAGGAAGAACTTGCTTGGGGTGAGGGTGGCAGAGCCCTGGCAGAGGCTGCCCAGGGAGGGTGTGGAGTCCCCTTCTCTGGAGATCTTCAAGCCCCACCTGGATGCTCCTGAGTGATGTGCTCTGGGCAGCCCTGCTTTGGCAGGGGACTTGGACTGGATGGTCTCTAGAGGTCCCTTCCAACTCCAACAATTCTGTGATTCTGCTTTACTTGTAATGTTAATGATTACACACCGCCTGCATAGGCTTAATTAGCTGATATCTAGCCTCTATTTATTGAGCTTGACTATGTTTTCAGGATGTAACACTGGGCTTTTTTATAGTTTGATAACCACTCATGAGGCCTGAATGACAGCGGCTTTTCATGTGTTTTCACATATTACGCTCCTGATCTGTTCAGCTAAATCTCAACCACGCTTTATTTCAAGACAACATTTGTTTCAAGGCATGCAGCGCTGTTGTTGTTTTGCAGTGTGTCAAACAGCTGGATTCAAAACTGTTTGGTGACAGGTAATTAAAATACAGGCTGCCACTGAGATTCAAAGGTCGTTATCTTTGCATTTGCATGAAAAATAACAATAACTCTGAAATATAGCTACCTGCCTGAAGGCCTGAGGTGACCTTTAGTAGAGTAACTCCGAAAAAAACCCAAAGAAAATCAAAGTAAAAGAACATAGGTAAAAAGGATAAAAGTGCATGAAGTAATTGTGTGTTTACAGGGTTTGATTAAGAATGTATGATTAGCAAAAACAAGATCTTGCAAGATTTGCTGCGCACCTGACGGAATTTCTCTTCCTCCCCATTAATCAGAGGCAGCGGCTGACGGGGAATTTTTTCTTTCAAGTTCTGGGTTTGTGGAACAAGGATGAAGCAATTCACCTCAGCAGTCATTCCGCATGTTTTTTTATGATAAATGCTTAGGGTACTTGTTTCCAGCTCTGTCCTAACTCCAGGTTGAACACCTCAGCGGTCAGCATCACCTTGGTGCAGCTGCTGTGCCTGGATCTCCCTGAAGATGCGTGGAGTCTCACAGAGCCAGGCAGCCTGGGGTGGGTGACCACGAGCTGGGGAGTTGCTGGGGAGTTGTTTTTTTCCTAGACTTCTCCTTTAATCCTTCTTCCTCCACTTCCCTGCTGTAATGCAATAGCTGTGGTGAATTTTATTTTGCTCTTCTTTTCTCTGTATTACTTAGAATGTACAGCAGAGCACATTGTCTCTGGACATTTCTTATTAGAATCATAGAATTGTCTGGTTTCCAGGGGATGCCAGGGGCTTTCTGAAATAACTTTGTTCCAGCTCCTGTACTGGTGGTGGATGTTCTTCAGGTTCGAGGAGGAAACTGGAGTAAGTGAGCCTTTGCCAACTGTGGGATTACCTCAGCAGTGAAAGGAAGGGAGTCAGTTATTCCACTGGAGTCTAAGTGAAAGGTATTCTCAGATACAGATTTTAAGTGTTAACCTAGAATCTTAGAGTCATAGAATTGTCCAGGTTGGAAGGGACCTTTCAGATCATCTAGTCCAACCATCAACCCAACTCTGATCAAAACCATCACTAAACCATGTCTCTAAGCACTAGGTCAAGCCATCTTTTGAATACCTCCAGGGATGGTGCCTCAACCACTGCCCTGGGCAGCCCAGTCCAAGGCTTAAGAACCCTTTCAATGGAAACATTTTTCCTGATCTCCAATCTGAACCTCCCCTGGGGCAACTTGAGGCCATTTCCTCTTGTCCCATGGCCTGGGACTTGGGAGAAGAGACCGACCCCCCCTGGCTACACCCTCCTTTCAGGGAGTTGGAGAGAGCCAGAAGGTCTCCCTTCAGCCTCCTTTTCTCCAGGCTCAACACCCCCAGCTCCCTCAGCCTCTCCTCACAGGACTTGTGCTCCAGAAGAAGACATGTATGGTGGATCTAGCCTGCCACACTGAACTGCGGACAAACCTCACAACGTTTGACAAGCTTTGGGCTTCGATGAGGACAGAGACTTTGTGTCTTCAAAGAAAGGGATGGTTTTCTTTTTAGCTGCTGGTTGAGTTTCTGTCCTATTTTCCCTTTGAATGCCAGTCATGCTTGGATTTCCCGCTGCTTGTCTCTGTAAACACAGAGCTCTGAGCTCTGCTACGAGAAGGCACAGGAGCTTACATGGAATTTAGGCCAACGACAGCTCAGCAGCCACCCCACTGCTCGCTGTGATCGCGATTCGGGGGTGTTCGCATTTAAAGAGCAGAGCCCCCCCTTTCCCCACACACACACTGGGCAGTGACACCGGCGAGGAAATACCCAGACACCCCCCTCCCCGAGACCACCCCATCCCTCACGCTTAATTAATTTAAGTTTAAAACCTACAGGAGGGGAGGTGTGTGTGAGGGGGAGCTGAGTCCCGCCTCCCCGGCGCCGGCTCCGGCCCCGGCCCCGCCCCGCCAGTCCCCGGGGCCTGCGGCGGTGCCTGTCCGCGCTGCGGGCCCTCATCGCCGGGCCGTGAGCGGCGCTTCCGAGGTAAAGCTTCGCTGCCTCCCTTCACCGGGGGGGAGCGAGGAGATAAGCGGAGGTGGGCAAGGCGCCGAGAGGGACGCGGGGCGGGCGGAGGAGCGGCCTGGCCCGGCCAAGGGAAAACAAAGACAAAGAAGCAGCAAGGAGACAAAGAAGCAGCAAGAATTTATCATGCCCCTGAAGATCTTCCCTTCCCTTCCCTTCCCTTCCCAGCGGCTTTGTCCTCCCCCCGCCCCCGTTAGGCGCCCGCTGTCAGGAATTTAGGTTTGGCAGAGGAGGAGGAAGAAGGAGGAGGAGGAGGAGGTCACATGTCGAGGGCCGGGGGTCGCCTCTCCGCCGCTTCCCTCAGAGGCTCGGGGGATGCTCGGTGGCGGGGCTGCCTGTGCTGCCCCTCCTGCCTGGGGGGAAGGTGTGTGGGTGGATGGGTGTCCACGTGGGGTGTTTTTCCCATCTTTTTTGAGACCCTGGTTCGGCAAATATGTTTTCAGCCGGAGGTAGGGTTACCTCTGTGTGTGTGTTTGTGTGTGTTTTTCCTGTCTTTTTGAGACCCTGGTTTGGCAAATACATCTTCGCCTGGAGGGGCTTCCTACCACAAAAAAGATCTTGAGGGGCTGGGGCGGATCCAGAGAAGGGCAATGGAGCTGGTGAGGGGTCTGGAGCACAAGTCTTGTGAGGAGAGGCTGAGGGAGCTGGGGGTGTTGAGCCTGGAGAAAAGGAGGCTGAGGGGAGACCTTCTGGCTCTCTCCAACTCCCTGAAAGGAGGGTGTAGCTGGGGGGGGTCGGTCTCTTCTCCTAAGTCCCAGGCGATGGGACAAGAGGAAAAGGCCTCAAGTTGCCCCAGGGGAGGTTCAGACTGGATATTAGTAAAAAATTTTTCACCAAAAGGGTTCTTGCACATTGGCCTGGGCTGCCCAGGGCAGTCTGGAGCACAAGTCTTGTGAGGAGAGGCTGAGGGAGCTGGGGGTGTTGAGCCTGGAGAAAAGGAGGCTGAGGGGAGACCTTCTGGCTCTCTCCAACTCCCTGAAAGGAGGGTGTAGCCAGGGGGGGTCGGTCTCTTCTCCCAAGGAACAGGCCATGGGACAAGAGGAAAAGGCCTCAAGTTGTGCCAGGGGAGGTTCAGACTGGATATTAGGAAAAAATTTTTCACCAAAAGGGTTATTGCACATTGGACTGGGCTGCCCAGGGCAGTGGTTGAGGCCCCGTCCCTGGAGGTGTTCAAAAGACGGGTTGATGTGGTGCTGGGAGATATGGTTTAGTGATGGTGGTGCTTTTTGTTTGTCGTGTCAGTGTTTATTTTTGTCAAAATTAGGTTGACGGTTGATGACAAGATGATCTTTAAGGTCCCTTCCAACCTAGAAGATTCTGTAGGGTGACGTGTGTCTTTCTGTGTGTTGTCTTTCCCATCTCTTTGAGGCCCTGGTTAGGCAAATACGTTTTTACCCGGAGGTAGGGTGACCTCTGTGTGTGTGTGTGTCTCTGTCTGTGTGTTGTTTTTCCCATCTTTTTGAGACCCTGGTTTGGCAAATACATCTTCATCTGAAGGTAGAGTGACCTGTGTCTCTGTGTGTGTGTTGTTTTTCCCATCTCTTTGGGACCCTGGTTTGGCAAATACATCCTCACTCAGAGGTAGGGTGACCTGTGTGTCCTGCTGATAGCGCTGTGAGCACACCAGGCCCTCAATCCTCTGGTCGCCACCACAGGAAAACGTTACGCCGGAGTTTAATTTTAGCGTTGGACTGAATTTAGGCAGCTCTGGAGAGGCACTGCCAGATTTCAGCATCCGTCTTAAAAGTGGGTCGTTCGTTCTTCAAATGTAATGGGTTTTTTTTTTTTTTTGCATATATCTTAAGGGTTATGCCCCCAGGGCAAGCTGGCTAAGCTTACAACAGTTTGATCTACGCTAGCAGTTAAAGTTACTCATTGACAAGGTGCTTTGAGTCTGTTCCCAATTTCATGGTAGTCAGTTTTAAGTAGATACAACGATTGACTTTAACATGGAAAATACTCGCCACGAATACTAAACTTGAAGAAAGAGGGGTTTTGTTTTTTGTTTTTTTTTTTTTTAAACAAAATGTTAGTGTGCTTAAAGGTGTTAAGGCCATCACGGTATTTCTGCAGAGTGTTGCCATTTTATTATGCGTCATTATTGTCATCTTGGCTTTTATAATGTGATGTAGGATTGTGTTGAGCATTAATTGCTATGGCAGCTGTCATTTTGTTCTGGAAATCCTAGTGTTTTGGGGGACTGTTAGTCAGTCCAACATGGTGAGAAGGCTCATTTCTATTTATAAGCCATTAGAGTTATTGTTTTGAGTAGATGTTTTTCATCAGGTTTACAGTTTTAAGTGGGCCAGATGCAGTAATTGGGTTTTCATTCGTTTGTTGATGGTGTTCAGGGCCAGATACTTCGGGTAGAATGCACCAGGGGTCCTCTTGTTATGGCACAGGTCTTTAACTTTTTTTTAATTTATTTTTGTATTTTTCTGTTCTTTGCATGTTAGTCTTTTCCCAGATGAACGTTGTTCTTTATAGCTTTAGTATGTTGAGAGAGAGAAACATTTGCCCTTTTTAACAATGCTGAGATTTGTGAATTACTAAACTATTTGAGATGGATTAGGCATTCTTTTTGGTGCGTTTGGGCTAGAATGTGGTTTTCTTGACATGAAGCATTCTAATTTTCATAAATTCTCCAGTGTTTAGCTATGAGTTTTTCCAAATGAGTTTAGCACAATTGTTCTAGGCCTTCATTCTCATGAAAGAATATAGTAAGACTTTACCATTTTAAACTTCGTCGGTCCATACTAGTCAAACATATGTTTTAATACTGCTTTTGTTGAAATGTTTTACAGGGCCAAACCTCATTTCTAGTAAGCAGGAATGACGGATTTCATTTGGTGAATTGAGTCAGCAAGCACAGGAATGATGGATTTCATTTGGTGAATTGAGTCAGCAAGCACAGGAATGCTGGATTTCATTTGGTGAATTGAGCCAGCAAGCACAGGAATGCTGGATTTCATTTGGTGAATTGAGCCAGCAAGCACAGGAATGCTGGATTTCATTTGGTGAATTGAGCCAGCAAGCACAGGAATGCTGGATTTCATTTGGTGAATTGAGCCAGCAAGCACAGGAATGCTGGATTTCATTTGGTGAATTGAGCCAGCAAGCACAGGAATGCTGGATTTCATTTGGTGAATTGAGCCAGCAAGCACAGGAATGCTGGATTTCATTTGGTGAATTGAGCCAGCAAGCACAGGAATGCTGGATTTCATTTGGTGAATTGAGCCAGCAAGCACAGGAATGCTGGATTTCATTTGGTGAATTGAGCCAGCAAGCACAGGAATGCTGGATTTCATTTGGTGAATTGAGCCAGCAAGCACAGGAATGCTGGATTTCATTTGGTGAATTGAGCCAGCAAGCACAGGAATGCTGGATTTCATTTGGTGAATTGAGCCAGCAAGCACAGGAATGCTGGATTTCATTTGGTGAATTGAGCCAGCAAGCACAGGAATGCTGGATTTCATTTGGTGAATTGAGCCAGCAAGCACAGGAATGATGGATTTTATTTGGTGAATTGAGTCAGCAAGCAGACTGTTTAATCAGTGCTTTTTCAGAAGAAATTGGTGATGTGGGTAATGGTACATCCCACTTGTGACACTAGAAGCTGTGATTTGGCACGGTTAGCCAGCAGCATTCAGCAACTTAATTGAAGCACTTTAAAGGACCACAGATGTGTTGCTCGTTAAATGTTCTCTAATTTACCTACTAAAAATCTGCTCTTAATTTGAAATCCCTAGTGATGGTGCTAAAAGACAACTTGTGTATTACCTCTCCGCCTTGCTGTGTTAAGTTCAGCTAGGAGTAAGGTTAAAAATGAAGGGCTGAAAAACAAATAATCTTAGTAAAGAAGCAAATGGGTATCTTCTAAAGACATCACATTTTTCGTGTTAAGATCACCTACTCAGTCATCAGCTGAAGTCCTGAAACAGCATCACTTCAGACACCAGGAGTTAGTTCCTATCTAGCACTGACAGAAAAAACTCGATTAATTATGTGCAGGTGCGTTAGAATAAGTATTTTATGCTGAAGGTTCAGATGTAGATCTTTGCTAGAATTTGCTGCTGCTGGGACCAAGGAATTATTTTCTTACAATGTCCTTTAAGCCTTGTAAGGAGAAAAATGGGGGTAATATGTAAACCCTGATACTTCCTTTTGTTTTGAAGCATCTTCAAGAGCTATAAAACAGGAGTTAAGAGTGAAAAATCTTACACAAGTTTATCTTGTATTCTGAAATGGATGTCAGTTTCTTAAAATCCTGTATTTCTTAAGAGCTCTGAAGAATTTCCAGGGCTTAAGTTTGCCTGGAGAAAACTGTTGCACCATTTTGTTGAATACTTTCGGAGGGGGTGATGGAATCCTGAATATTTCCCACTAATGCATAAAATGACCAACATATTTCAGGAGGAGTCCTGCAATTCTGTGCTAGCAAAAGAAGAGCTTTTCTTGTCCAGGTAGTATCTGGCTGGCAGCTTTGGGGCATATGTTTGTTGTCAAATTATAGAAAAAAACAAATGTGTGTGAGCATCCTATGTAATACACCAGTATCCTGCTTGATGTTTGAAGCAATCAGTAAGATGTTTGGTCTCTTCAAAGAATTTTACTCTGTATTTAAAGAAGTGTTGACGTGACAAAATAATACGTTTTAGGTATCAAAAGCATTTTTTTTTGGCCTACAGTTGTTTTAACTCTGGGGAAGCTGAATGGGTTATAAGCCCTTGTTGCTTAGTGGAAGTGAAATCTTTTATTTCTCTGAGCTGCATTGGGGTTGGCTACAAAGTCAGCTTTGGAGAGCAGGTGATAAGAGTTAAGAGCAGATTTGGTGGGGTTTTTTTAATTGTCTTTTATCTGTCTTTGAACCACTCCCTTTTTATCTTCCCTCCCTGCTTTTGCAAGAAATCTGTGTCTGCTTCTTTTTGCCTTTTCTTGTAGGTTTTTTTTTCTTATTGTTT